TATTAATATATATATATAATATAATAATGTAATATTAATATTAATATTATTATATTATATATTATGTATAAAATATGTATAAAATTATGTATAAAATATGTATAAATTATATATAAATTATATATAAAATATATACGATATAATATAAGTAACAAGTACGAAGGAAAAATATTAATTCGTGTAGTAATCGTCGATCGATCGTTATCGTTGATAACATATTTTTTTAAAAAAAAATCATGTATTATTTTCTAATACATGGATAGATATTTAAAGGAAAGAGGAACGAACATTTATTTCGTGCGTACTATTCCGCGGTCGAGGAGATACTGCTTCGAATTAAGTAAACAGAAATGGATTTAAATCGGATTTATATTTTATATGCCCTCGAGTTTAAATCCTTTGTTTTCAATATTTCTTATAATAATCGCTCTCGAAACACGTGTACGTTTGATGCACGACCGAATTTACGGCTTGTCCCGTGTCTCTTTCAAATATATACGTATATCGTTTTATAAATCTTCCCAGAGGGTGTGGCCTTTTAGATGGTAACTGCATCCGACAATGATTTATTAATTTGATGGAATAACGTAACAAGGGTGTATCTATTTTTAAAATCTGTTTTTTTCGAATAAAATAACATTAAATTCGGATATTTACGAATCGAAAAGAAAACCAACCCTTGTTAAATTTTCAATTACTGCACGATTAATAATTTGATACTTTTTTCGATATAATTATATTATAGAGTATCTATAAAGACAATTTTTAAGCTATAAAAATTAAAGATTTTTCTTATTATCGTTCTTGTTATTATTTATTTGTTGATTTTTTGATTCTCGAGAATAATAAAGGGATCGTTGATTGGATAATTTTCTTTATAATATTAAAATTGGAATTGGATAATTTTTACGAGTTTTTCGAGAAGATTATTTTCATAATTTTGAAGAAAGTTGTTTCGACGGTATTACCATGAAACGCTTCGATTAATCGATAACGACAAAGGGTTTCTAAAGTCAGAACTAGGGTAACAATGAGGTTACGCTTGCAGACGAACTTTCGAAATCGTGTGGTTATGAATCATTGAACGATTTTCATTGCATAAAGGCAATATCGATTACGTTGACCAAACTAATTTAACGCGTGGCATTGAATTCTTGATCGATCGATTTGATTGAGGAACGAAAATGATTGGATAATTTTAGAAGTAAAGCTTGTTACACAGGGCTTTTTCGATACGAAATTTCAATTTTCACGATCATTAAATATTATTTTATTATAAATTTACAAAGTTTACTCAAAAGTATAAAGAATTTCAGAATAAGTCATCATGGATGATTAAAATATTTTTGTGATTTTCTTTTAATATATATCCAAACTTGAGATATATCTTTTATAATATAATTGTAATAGTTATAAAATCAAAAATTTCAAATTCTATAACAATGAAATTAATTAAAGTCTGGAAAAAATATATAAAGAATTATTTAGAAATTATATTAATTAAATTATATTTCGAAATTAGATTATTTTGAATTATGTAATTAAAATTTTATTGAACTTTAGGAAATGAAATTTATCGCATAAAAAATTGAAATATTTCTTTTTTACGTCGAATTGCTTCGATAAGAATTTTTTTGCAGCATATAAAGAATGAATTCGATCTTCTTATTTTAGAGAAGTGGTTCGTTTATTAGATCGTTAAACCGTTCCAAGAATAGAGCGAGGAATTATTGGTTAATTAGTGTGGATTTCTGTGAATGAAGATTGTATATTCGATGCGTATTATTTAGAATTCGACTATTGTCGTAAATATGATAATTATTATTAAATTTATATTTTAAAATAAATTTAATAATAATTCTACATAATAATAAGCTCGCCCAAAATATTCATTATGGTTTCCTCGATTAATTTCAAAAATGAATTGAAAATATTAAATTATTAATGATTTTATTGCACGAAATTTTGAATTTGATATAACATGAAAATAATAATGCGTATTAATATTTTCTACATAATCCTCTATATAAATATTCCGTACTCCTAGAAATTAATTTTCAATCCTGTTTATTCTAATGCTCCTACTTACTAAATACCAAATTCTTATTTTACTTCAACATGATTTAAATCGTTAAAACATTACACATTTACTTTACATATTACAATATATTATTTATAACACAAACTATCCTAACATACCAATAATACCAATAATATCTATTTCTAATTTTATAAAAGTTATATCATAAAAAATATTTCTAATTGAGATTGTATACAAAACACATAAAAAAAGAAATATTACAAATTTATATACACAATAAATTTAAATCTTCATCGAAACCTTTTCCTTGTAAAATATATCAATCCCACGAGAGACTTTTCCAACTTATATACACCAATTTCGCACAGAAGATTAAATTCTCAATCCGAAAATCTATTTAACCCCTTTCAATTATCTTTCAAAAATCAACTTACTGGTTGGAAAACTTTGCACCAACTTCTCTCCACGTGCATCGAACCCTCTGGCGAGGAAACGAAATCGGCGGAAGGCTCAATACGGCTGCGAGCAAACGAGCCACTTACGAGCAAAGTTTCTGCCACGGCCGGATGTCCCTCTCCGCCCGGAAACCGAGCGAGAGACCTCGATGGCGCGCGCGTAATCGCGATTTACTGCTCGTCTCCACGCCGTAATAAACAATATTAACGCGGTGAGCACACGCACGTTGAATTTAATCGATGACGCTCGTTAACGTTTCGTAACATGACAAACGACGCACGCAATCCCGATTCAATCTGCGCTGAAATTTGAATTCGATTTGGCGTCGCGCATCTCGTTTCGTTTTTCGATCGACGGATGGTAAGGTAGTTTGATAGCGTTCGATGATTGTTAATTAAGGAAGTGAAATGAAGATATGTAGAGAGTGAAACTCGTAGGTGTGTAAATGTTGTTTCGTGGAAAAAAGAAAAGAAAATTGGATGTATAGTGGATTGCATCAATGTGTATAGTTATTTTAATTGTAAATTCAGGATGCATTTTTCAAGGAAGATTGTAACGAGATTCTTAAAAATGGAAATTTCTTGTTCAAATTCTCGTTTTCTTGAGATTTGGATTTGTTATATATTTATGTGTTGGAATTGAATAAGATATTTTCATTTCTTGAAATATTAAGTTTTATAATAAGATCGGTATATCCGATTTTTTGATAAGTAAAGTGAATATGAATAGTTGTTTTAACGAATAAAAATTGGGTTTCTTGCATCTATTTTTCTTTCAAGGAATGAAAAACAACGAAACTTTCTTCTAGTTCTAAATAGTTTTAAGTAGATTGGTGTTTTGATATGTTTACATTAAGAAAAGTTTAAGATACATGAAAATTAAGAAATTAATTTTAACTGGTATACTAATTAATTAATTTTTACCTTTTGCTTATTATGAATGTTATTCTCTTCTCTGAGAGAAAAGAATATAACTGTACGATAGATTGCATTACAGTAGCAGAGGTATAGCAATTATCAGACATTAGAGTCAGGCGCTGCAGTAGAATATATATTGCGATAATCAGACATTAGTTAATAAATTAACTAAATTTATTTATATTCGTGTATATTTTATTTTAAAAGAATCTCATAATCCTTATATATAATCTTAATTAAGTTCACGAATTTTTATTAAAGGAAGAGTAGAATAAAATATAAAATTGAAATTAATTAATATCGATAGATAAACTCTTATGATAATTTAATTTTATCTCATATTAAAATATTCAGTTTCCTACCATAAAAATATTATTTATTGAAAAGCTATTCTGATATTTGAATTACAAATATTTAAATAAATAATTATTTTCCCAATATTTTTAAATCTTATCGACATAAGATTATCAATTCATCGAAATAATTTTTCTCATAGCAAACGAAACAGTTAAATTAAGAAAACACGATCCTCGAATACGAAAGAATTCTCGACTTCCAACAAATCTTAACTTATTAACTTATCATCAAATCTATTATCATTCATAAATATTTCCTCCCGTTTTAAATCATCTATATAAAGCACAATACATTAAATATAATAATAAAAAAAAGAAGAAACTAAGCGTTCCAAATTTTTCCTTCCCAACCATCTCTCAAATATTCATTCTAAAAATTCATTCAATATTCATTCCAAAGAAAAAAAAAAGAAAATCTCATACATTTACTCAATTTTTCAAACTCCTTTCACCTCTCGCTTTTCGCATCCACAAAACCTCCACCTCAACG